CAGGGCGGGGGGCTTCCGGGCCCCCTGCCGTGACTCTCTGTCCCCACTGCCAGCGGGTACTCACTCCAGTGCCCAAAAAGCTGGGGAGGTGGGGAAGATGCCATGGGACCCCCCTCCTTCCCCATCATCCCACCCCCCCTTTGCCATTTATCTCCCTGTCCCACTCATCTTCCATAATTTCCCCCAACATCCAGCTCCACCCCAACCACTCTTTAGGGTCTGGTCCCCACCCCAACACCACCAACACCATCCCCACCAACACCATCCCCATGTCACAGGTCTGAACTCACATGAGGTCTCCTCGCCATGAGCTGGGTGGGCTCCCAGCACCACCAGTGCCACCAGCACAGCCCCAGTTCCCAGGACACGACCCGTCCCCATCGCTGCTCACAGCTGAGGCTGGAAAGGTGCTGGGACCCCCTGAGCGAGCTGGGGTGTCACCCCGGTCCTGCCCAGTGTTGGAATGGGAGTCCCAGTGAGGACCAGTGAGCAGCGAGGCTGGGCAGCATCACCCATCACCAGGCAGAGCCGAGCGCTGCTGGGCTCCCTCTGACACTTGTCCCCTGGCTGCAGCCTGGCCCCGGGACAGGGAGCAGGATCTGACCCATGTCCTCGGGGATGGGAGAGAGACCCCAGTGCTCCCAGAGACCGGACCCCTCAGAGGAGCCTGGTCTGGGGCCCCACAGGCCGTGTCCTGGTAGTGGGACCCTGTCTGGGTGTCCGTCCGTCTGTCTGCTCCGCAGGGTGCTCTGCGCTGCTGCTCTGCCTGGGAACAGCTGAGTCAGCGCCAGGGCTCCCGGCTATTGGCCGAGGACCCGGGGGGGCCCTTGTTCCCCAGGCACAGGGCCCCCAGCACACAGGTCCCCGTCCCAAGAGCTACACAGCTCCCCGCCCAAGCCTGCCCCTTCCCTGCTCCTGCTCTGGCTGCCCAGTGCCAGGAGAGGCCATGGCCGGAGGACGGGGCGTCCCGCTGGCGCTGCTGGCAGTGCTGACCCTGCAGGGTG